TCCCTCCAGATCAATGATGCTTTTACCTTCCGGGAGCTTCAGTTTGCCCTCGGCAGCAGTACTGGTAAATCTACCGGGCCGGACGAGATTGGATGCCCGGTGTTAAAAAAACCTCTCCCTCGACGAAAAAACGAGGCTACTCGCCCTCTTCAACGACCTATGGCTCACTGACTCGTATCCGGACCTCTGGAAACAAAGCCTGGTAGTGCCCATTCCGAAGAACAACGCGGCGAGTGCAGAAGCCTCCTCCTTTAGGCCGATTGCGCTCACTTGCTGCGCGGCAAAAGTGATGGAGAGAATGGTAAATCGTCGACTTAGGCAGTTCCTGGAGTCTAACAGTCTCCTTGACGAACGGCAGCATGCATTCCGGCAAGGACATGGCTCCTCCACTTACTTTGCAGCCCTCGGGAAAGTACTCAAGGAAGCCCAGGACAACGGTCACCATGCGGATTTAGTATCCCTTGATATATCAAAGGCGTTCAACAGGACGTGGACGCCTGGCGTCATCAGGCAGCTCATCGGCTGGGGCCTGAAAGGCCACATCACGCACTTTGTACGGAATTTCCTCCTTGATCGTACCTTCCAGGTGACTGTCGGGAACACTCGATCGGATCCGTTCCCCGAAGAAACTGGAGTGCCCCAGGGATCCGTCATAGCGGTTACGCTATTCCTGGTGGCAATGAACGGGGTGTTCAGCCGACTGCCTAAGAACGTGCACGTAATCGTCTATGCCGATGACATACTCATCGTCGTAACGGGACGAACGACTAAACGGACCAGGGATATTGCCCAAGCAGCTGTCTCCGCCGTCAGCAGGTGGGCGCTTTCTGTTGGTTTCCAGCTCTCCGCTCCAAAGAGTGTACGGTGCCATATCTGCCACTCGGGCCATCTGATTCGGGAACCACCGATCACCATCCAGGACCATCCAATTCCGCTTAAGAAAACAGTACGTGTTCTGGGGGTAATTCTGGATCGGACTCTAAGTTTCGACCAGCACTTCAGATCGGTGAAAGAAAACTGTCGTAGCCGCTCAACATCGTCAGGACAATCTCCCGCCCGCACCGCTCCAGTAACCGCGAGATCCGCCTTCGTGTCGCCCGGGCTGTTATCGACAGTCGACTTTTCTACGGCATTGAAATTACCTGCTTAGCCACCGAGAAGCTGAACCGCATCCTCGCTCCGGTATACAATACCTACGTACGCATCGTATCCGGCCTTCTACCTTCCACGCCTGCAGACGCTGCTTGTGCGGAAATCGGAGTCCTCCCTTTCCACTATCGATCTGCTGCAGCTACTGCTACGAAAGCCGCTGCCCTCGCTGCTAAGACATCCGGGAATGATAGGGTCTTTCTCCTCAACGAGGGGAACAGAGCCATCCGCACTACAGCCAACCTTGACCTCCCCCCGGTGGCCAGGGTCCACTGGCATGGAGAGAAAAGTTGGCGATCTAACGTTATCAAAATAGATAAGCGGATTAAGAGAGGATTCCAAGCCGGAGATAACTCTGTAGCGTTGAGGCGTTCAGTTGCAGAACTTCTTGGGTCGGTCTATCCGGGGCACGTTCATCGCTTTACGGACGGATCGCGATCACGGGCTAGAGTGGGACTCGGAGTGGCAGGACCAAACTCCGCAACAAGTCAAAGTCTACCGGAGGAGTGTTCCGTTTTTTCCGCAGAAGCCGCTGCTATTCTTGATGCAGCCATCACTCCTGCAGATCAACCGATCCTTGTGCTAACGGACTCACACAGCGTCATCCAGGCGCTGGAAGCCGAAGCCCCGCGCCACCCCTGGATACAAGCCATTACACGATATGCCCCACCCTCAACCGTTTTTACGTGGATTCCCGGGCACTGCGGTGTTCCTGGAAATGAGGCTGCGGACAGGCTGGCGGGATCCGGTCCATCTGGTCCCCGCTTCACCAGGAACGTACCACTCATAGACATCAAGCGTTGGATCGCGAATATTATCATTGAAGCCTGGCAGGAGGAATGGTTTCAGTCGCGGACCACTTTCCTGAGAAAGATCAAAGAAACCGTACGACCCTGGCTAGACAGCCACAAGTATAAGGACCAACGGATCATTTCAAGACTCCGGACCGGCCATGCGAGGATTTCCCACAATTTTGGTGGGACACCCTTCCACAAGGTTTGTCCAATTTGCAGCATCCCTGCCTCGGTGGAACACGTGCTGTGTGTCTGCCCAGAGTTTCAAAGGCTACGCGAACAACACCGACTCCCAGAGAACATCAGGGAGCTACTTGGCAACGACCCCTCGACGCTGGCTGCGCTGATTGCTTTCTTGAAGGACTCCCACCTGTACAACCAAATCTAGCACTCTCGTCGTTGGCTGCGCTGTCCGTGTTCTTCCACCTTCCTATTTTCCTGCCGTCGGGGTATCTCTGACGGACTGGGGCACTGTCTCTTACGGTGGAGCTCTACCTTGTTCGCGCATCTAGTATTCTAGTCGAAATTCTAGAACTACCCTTTGTTTGTTTTGATTCGCTATGAGAGTTTGACAGATAAATTGAGGGTTTCATGGATTTTCCTTTGTTTCGAGGGGTGCATCGATTAGCTTGGGACCGAAGAGAGTACCAGAGCTGAGCCAAAAAGTTGAGCACGTTTCTTCGGGACCTTCTGGTCTTAGAATTACCTCTATGGTATTGCTCTGTATTTCCAACTATTAAAAACTACGAATGACGTCTCTCAGATATACACCCTAGACGGCAGGCTGCTCAAGAAGTATTCAAAAGATATCCAGCTAGTCGAAGATTGCAGAAAAGTCCTGTAGATATTTGTTTTAAACATTATTCATAATCAACATAAAGAAGCAGCTCAAACTTTGAAGTCAAGGACCTTCATTTCTTTACCAAAAATCTTCACTTATCTGCTTGAAATAAAAATAAAGCATTCGGAATTCTCTTTCGCTTTCAACATCTCTTCAAAAATATTTACCAAACATGATTCCCGTTTCCCAGCGTACAAGAACCGCAGTCCAGTATTGTTTCAATTTCCGGAAGGGAAGCAGCTTCGGACTTGTTTCCAAATACTCAGAAAACCTCACTTTCCCACAGGTTCAGGTAACCCAACCGACAATCTCATTAATTTAAATTAAATCGTTATGCAAAAATGGATAAAGGGTGAGAAGAAGAAAAAAAAAACAATGCAAAAAAGTTAACTTCTACGGAAGCCGGAGACCACACCGCAAGCCGTGAAACGGATCCTACTTGTATTTAAAAACAAAGGAAGAAAAAACGGCCGGGAAGCCTTCCTGACCACCGACACTACGCTGCCCGAGTGGAAGGGGGAAACAAGTGCATAATGAAAACAAATCGACGAATTAAAACGAGAAAGAAAAAAAAATAATAACTGGAAGCTATAAAAAAGCGATGTTGATGATAATAAAACAAAAGTTCCCAGACAGGACCTGCTCCGGTCCTGCGACAGTGCAATGGGCGTGCGAAACGGGTCCCTTCTTCCCTTTCTCCGGTTCGTTAGGCCATTTATTTATTACGAGCACTGACAGTCAGCCCTTGCCCATTTGTTTCTTGTTTCGGAGCTTTGAAAAGTGACATTTTCAAATTTGCGTTGTTTACCCTCTTTTTTTTTTTGGTTTTATGGCAACTTCAATTGGTTGCCATAATTGCCGTTTTTGGGTCAATTTAGAATAAACAAACAGCGTTCTCTATCGTGCTGTTGATGAATACAAATCCCTATCCGAGTTCGTCTGTTCGGATCACAAATAAATAAATGCACTCTTTCGGTACGGGGGAAAATAAATATGTCGAACGGTCGGAGCCGCACATTGCAGTTATGACAACAACGACGTCAAAAATATAAAAATACAAAACGGGACCGGACAGAGTGCGCGCAGCCCGAGCACTCATATCTGATGTTATGTTGTGCCTCCTGAACCACACTATAGAGCACAAACCGACTGTCCGTCCGTCCGTCCGCCGTTGTCCGAGATGCATTATAAATTCTAATTGACCCTAAACTAAATCTTCCGGTCCAGAGTCTGCCGCCGCAGTTGTTCCAGTGTATGGCAACAGCAGACTCGATCCCTTGTTTCAACCCGAACGCAAATTCGTTCCACGATGGTCAACTATCATTGGGGGGATCTTTTCCAGGCGTGCCATAAAATATTATGGCAAACTGACAGTTAACGGAATTGATCATAGCACACCTGGATTTCGTTCCGAATGCCACGCGTGTGCCGATGCATCCGAAGCTATTAATTAGACCGTTGTTGTCGGTGCAGTCAAGCTATCGTGGTGAGGTGGTCAAGATTTGCGCTTGGCTGGAGATTCTTCCGTACGAAGAAAGCTAATATTGTACCAAAGGGCGTACATTATGGATGGAGGGGAGAGAAGGCAGGACAGGAGCAAGAATAAATTGGATGAAGTGTCCGACCGCCACCGGGCGATGCATCCAGCAACGGCTTTCCGCACGCTTGGTTTCGAATTGTCCGTTTCGGTTTGGTTGTTTTGTTTCAATACTTGCTTTGATCGAGGGGTCCGACGATTCCTTACCATCCGGTCCAAGCTTGCTTTGATTGCGATCAATTCGGTTCAGAATAAGGCCCTTCGCCTTCTTCGAGGATGAGATTAAGACAGAAGGCGGCGGCAGAGTAGGCGCCGAATGTAATCGTCGTGAGCGGAACAGAGGGAGGGGGGGATGTAAAAATTGTACAATAACAAGCAGTTGTCGGCACGCGAGCTTATGGTTACTTGCACTTGCACTTGCAGCAGAAGATGCGCAGTCGCGCGTGCCTCTTTCTCTCCGTCTCGGATGTAGTAAAATTCGAGTAACCGACGGCGACGAAGCCGGCGAAGAAGGTTCCGCCAAAGAGGACGAGGTGAAAGAAGATCCAACGGAAAAAGTTCAACCGTCTGTTGATTTTCCTCGTTTCGAACTGTCATCCTTGCATTTTTCAACGTCACCCAAAAAAAAGGGTGAATCGATTTTAATATGCTTCTTTTTTTTCTCTCTGTATCATTCCAGAATCGAACCGGCTTCAATGAGCATATCGACGTCAGCTGCGGCAGTGATTGCTACATTACACAGGTAATTTTGCGGCTTCCTCCTGGCAGGATGAAACTCGGAGCGAATTTGCCGTCAGATTTGATCCGGTGCGAAAAAATTCAGCTCAACACCTGACTCCACTTTTTTTTCTCTTCGTTTTGACGTGTTTTGCGATTGTCATCTCGTCGCCACTTTATATAGGAATGAACTTCCATCCAGCAGTTTGGTGGGATTCGGCTCGGGTGGCGAGTTCCGTCCATCGCGGGCGATGACTTACAAAATCACTCGACCGTAAGTCCGGACACAGGAAGGTTGTTTTGTTCGGCTACTGATGCAAGCCGGATGAATGTAGAAATGCGAGTACGACCGGCAATGGGAGTTTGAATGAAATTTGTTGTTGTTGTTGTTGTTGTTTTCCCGGTTGTGTTGTTATGCTTGTTGTGTTGAAGTGCTTTTTGCCGAGTTGTGGTGGTTCACCTGTGCAGAAATTACCATGATTCAGATTCTGGACGAAGGGCTAATGACGATTGTGAATGAAAATGGTTTCTGTTTGAAAACAGAGCAAGGTTTGAGTTCGATATTTTGACACAGTAAAATGCAACGAAGATTTTGCTTTGCTGTCGTCAGATGCGCGCTCGCTGAGTAGATAGAAAAGAGATGAATAAAGATTTTGAAGATTTCTTGAATAACAATGCAGCGTGATTCTGGTCCCCCACGCTGTAGGTTTCTTATGGCTTGGAACCAGTTATGCGAGGTAGGCGACGATTGTTCGTTGTTTAAATCCGAGCCAGCTTCTGATTGGTCGATTTGACAGCAGCAATCGTGGAATAAAAAGGACAGAGGGATCGCATCAATCTGGCTGGCAGTGATGCCGGAATCAATGTTCACATCAATGGCGTTGTTAATTGTTTATATTTGCGAAAAGAAAGTTGAAAAATTCAGCGCACTGTGTGTTTTATGCGATGGATATTGTTGTTTATTTATGGTTGTTTTTATTGTGTTGAGCAAAAATTATGTAAAAGTTGCAAAATTACGATAGAAACTCCGAATAAAATCCAAATTAAAATAGAAAAAATATATTACATTCCCGGAATCATTGGTCTACTCCGTCAAACACCACGCACAACTTTCCGAAGGGAATTCTTCAAAAACATTAAGAATAGTGAGTACCCCAATTAAAAAAAAAACCCAAAATTGTCAAGTTCCGTCCCGGCATTCCATGATCCAGGGTGGCCAGCAAACCGGGAAAACCGGGAATACCGGGAAATATCCGGTAATTTGAAAAGTAACCGGGAAAACCGGGAAAAACCCGGGAATTCGACGAGAGAACCGGGAAAAATAAATTAACCATACCATAGGAACAAGTTTTTACACCAGGATTTCAGAATAAACCATTAAAACAGAGTGATCCTTTACCAAATGAATGTCTTGCTCTATTTGCTGCATAATTTTCTTCAGTTTCCCGTCTTATTGTTTTGAGAATTTAATCACTCAGCAATATTGCAAATTGATTTTTGTCGTTTCAATTTCAGATGAAAAGTGCATGGTCCTTAAAAGAAAATATTTAAGATGCTGGACTTTGGAAACAAATATTTGTAAAAACCGAACCTGAATTATTCTTTTCCGGGGTTTCAATTTTTCGTTGTTCAAAATTCTCATGATATGAATTCCAGAATGAACTTGGAATTCTGCTTTGAATTATCATGGAATTCTTCTGAAATTAACCAGAAAACACTCCGCGCAATAATTACCGTTGAATTATTTTTGGAATTTACTAGAAACCCCTTCTAAGAATTTAGTTGGAATCCTTCTTAGAATTCCCTTTGAATTTTTTTAATTTAACTCTATTCAAAACAACAGAAATCTTTTGAAATTTTATTTAGAAATGCTTTAGAGTATTTTAAAGAATTTCTTTCTAATTATCAGCAAATGTTTTGCAATCAATTTTGTTGGAGCTCTGTGATGAATCTTTCGCAATAGGGTTGAAATTATCCCAAGAACACTCTTAGAACTCTGTTTCATGTTGAATTCTAATCATAATTCTCTTGGAATTCTTCTATAAATTCATCTGTCATTTTCCTCACGATTTAAAGTTTTGTTTTTCATAACTCCTTGGGCCTTATTACGGGTGTCACTACACGGTGATAAGGAAGTGATACTCAGAATAAGAGCCGTGATTGCCGTACAAATCAAATGGGAATCACTTCACCGTGACGACAAGTGACAATTTTTCAGCGTGAAGTGACATCCGTAATAAGCCGCCTTGTGAAATCTTCTAAATTTACCTAAAAATTAATTTAGAACATGCATTCTTCTCCACAGAAATCCCTCCAAATTCAGCTAACAATTTTTAAGGACTCTAATTTTGGACTTCTGCTCAGAACTTCTCCTTCGAAAACGGTGTGAGAATCCTTCTCAATATATGTTCGAAATCAACACTTTGAATTCTTATAAATTTTACCAAAAATTCCAAGCTTTGTCCGCAAGATTCTATAGATTGTTCTGTAATTTTTTATAACCCTTAAAATGCTTCCAAGAGCTTGAAAATTATGACTCCATGACTCATAAGTATTTATTTTTTTCTTCAAATCTGTGATCTTGAAATTGTTTCAAAATCTCACATTTTAATTATTGTTTCTCCAAATCTTGCATTTTATTTATCACAAATTTTGAAGAAAAGTTCTAGTTTCAGACTCTACACAAATTTCAAAGCCCTAGAATTTTGGGAATCTCCATAAATCACATTTTTTATCCTTTCAGTAAATTCCTTCCAGCTGTTTGTTGAATATTAACAACCGGGAAATTTTTAAGATTTGAACCGGGAAAACCGGGAAAACACCGGGAATTTCAAAATGAAAATTCACTGGCCACCCTGCATGATCTGAATGACGTTTAAGCCATTTTTAGTTTGCACGGTGTGCAGATTCGAGGGGTTTAAATTCAAAAGTGTTCAGATTAAAAACGCTCAGATAAGGCTGTCCACGAGACAGTTGCGATCAGCTGACTTTTTTGTTTACCAAGAACTTTCGACAGATCACAGTAGAACTGGCAGTTTATTCTCATATGAATTACTGCTTTGTTTATGTTTACATTCAGCACCATTAACACCATATCACTTACACACTCTAGATTTCTAACTGTCAGTTCCACTGAGAAACGTCTCTTGGATCACCTTATTACCGGAGGTCCACGGCACAAGGTTGTTGTTTTCAGAAATGTTGATGTGGATACTAAGACCATTCGATGGCATTCGAAGTTGTGTTCCAAGGAGCGATTCCGGAATAAGGACACATTCCGAAACAAGACAGTTCTGATCGAGATTGTGTTCTTATTATCGAAGTAACACTGTTTGATCAATAATACCCCGTTCTAAATCCATCATCATCCATCGGGCAACGATCGATCATAAAAAAGCTGCAATTTGATCTTTCTACGTTCCCCGCCGAGAAAACTGCAAGCTGTGATCCACTTGTCCCTAGCTAAAATTAGCCATTTCATCACGGCTACTCACTCATCAATTAATTTACGATCGTTTGCCGATATTGTTGATTCAATTTGCCTATCCAGGGCGCTCTTGAGTAACCCCTTGTCGACTCGACGGATAGACCGGACCAGCTGCCAACAACGGCCATCATCAGGACCGACAGGGTTGGTTCACACCGGATCCCACCAATTAAGCACGTGTCCCAAGTCAACTTCAACTATATGGGGAATGGTCTGTGTTCCTGTTGGTCCGGCAATGATTTTAATCTATTTTAAATTTTCGTAACTTTGTTTTCGGAACCGACACAGACGCACCCAACGAGTTGAACTCAAACTTGGGACGGCACAGATTCAATTATCGTACTCCGTTCCACCGAGAGTTCCCTGCCTGGAAAACATGCGTTAATTGAGCTTAATTTGTTCCACTGCCTAATCGACCACCACTCCCACCCCGGTTCCGTAAGCGACATTTAAACAAACCCAACTGTATGGTTACTAGACTACGGTTTGTTTTGCTTTGGTCTGGTTGAAAAAACGATAAATCTATTTCCCAAAGCAGGCGGGAGATCAATTTCAGTGATTGAACCACCTCCAGCGGTTATTTTTTTTGAGGGTTATGTTCCCACATGACAGGTCGGGCGATCGCGGCTGGGTGTGATTGATGGTCTTCAACTATTCTTCAACGATGGAACGAGAAAGATGTCAGGTTAATGTTTTGACAACCTGTCAAGGTTGTGTCGCATGTGTCTGGTGGTGCGCCTGGTGGTGTGTCTTGCTTTCGTCACTTTTCTCCTCCGGAATCAGGCTACGAAGGGATCGTTTCTCGGTTGGCAGAGACCCTATTTCTCTCGCTCGCTCTCTCGGTTTTCTTGAAGGCAATTTGTGTTGAACTACATTTTACGACAGCCTCTTGTACACGAGTGTACAGAACAGATAAATCTAACTTCCTAATTAGTGGTGGGTTTTGTTCTCGGAGGGAGTTTTTTTTAGTTTTGTTTTCTTTGCGGTTTCCGAGGTTTAATCTTTCCCTTTGTGATGATTGCCCGAGGGGAAGTGAGGTTATGACCTAAAAATTTTATCTTTTTTTTTCACTGTCTTCATGGTTGCTTCAGTTGTACATAATGTAGAACTGATATCACAGACAAGCAGACATAACACATTGAATATTTCTCACTGTAAAACATTGTCGCTAAAACATTACCTCCATCTGTTGAGTATACTGTGGTGGGTAGCGAGGGGGACGACTCTATCTACGATGCAAAAAAGATTGTGTTTTGCTGTACCTACCTGTGCGCACGCTGAGTAGATAGAAAGAAGATTGGTGACGATTCTGAAGATTTCCTGCAAAAACTTGATGAGCGATGCAAGTAGATGCGACAAATGAAAGAAGATTGTTCGAAGATTGATTCGCTAGTGTGAGATTTGTTGAGCATATAAACTTGAGATTTAGATGTGTCGCCCCCCTCGGTGGGTAGTACGCTGAACAGATGGCGGTAGTGTGTAAACGTCAAACGCAAGGGAATTGACTATGCGCACCACGGATGGCGGTACTACCAACT